AACGAAATTTCTCATCAAGAGAAAAAAGAAGATTTGCTAATCTACAGCCAGCAGCAGTGAGGTTGACAGAATTGAACAGTGCGTGTTACTTGCGTTAGTAATTTTGAGACATTCAATGTCGAATTTAGTGTATGTATGTAGTTCTAAAAAAGGGTTAATCAATACTAAATTATATGTGATCGTGGGGTTTTATTATAGTAGTTTTTGTCCCAAAGTGGGGATATTGACCCGCATTAAGAATTGATTTGTGTCAAGATTATTGAGTAAATTACTCAATTCGATGTGAATTGGTATTCCCATAAAAATTTTGAAAGGGGCTTTTGATTTGGAATAAAAGAAAAAAATGTAATTCCCAAAAATTCCAGAATAAAATATAAATATCTCTAAGGGCGTTTTTATATCGTCCACCATAAGAATGAACCGCTAGTGTTGCCGAGATGTTTGATATTGAAAATTGGATTTATGGGTCCATATTTTGAAATGGCCCCAAGGTTTAGCAGGAGCATCTTATCGAAGTGATAGTAATTTGGCATTTTGCGTCAGAAGGAATTCACAGTACAAAAATCTGATATAGGTGATACTAAAACTTTTAAAAATAACCCGAAGTTTCAGGGTAGCCCCCATAAAAGGGAATTCCCCAAAATGGGGATTTTTGACACGTTTTCAATCAAATTTGATGTAATTTGGTATTTTGGTTTCTCGTAATGGTTTTATCACATCTCCACACTAAAAATAATATTAATATTGACCCAAGTCAATATTTTGATAATTTAGGACACGTTTTTCCAACCGAATTGGCTTTTTTGCATCGTGCTTTCTTATTCGCTGTCAAATCTCACTACCAAAAAATATCAATACTAATCACCATTTTATTATAGCCCCATATGACGGTAGGCTCACTCTTGGAAATTTTGAGAATTTCAATCACCTTTCTCTTAATCAAGGTCCAATCATAACATGAGTTTTCCCCTAGGAGCACCCATTAATTTTACACATACTGAATATCATCCTTATGGTGGAGGGTATAAAAAGTTCGCCGAGCCGAACTTAACACCATGTTAACGTGTTTTGTTTTTGTTTTGAATTCCATGCATATATATCTGATTGTAAATATTTTGAACTTGGTTGGAACACGTCCATAACAAATTTGGGATATGGACACATAAGGAGGCATGAAGTTAAAATTAACTAATATAACAAATTATTTGAATACACTCTAATTGTCACGTCTAAACGTATATCAAAAATATTATTATCATTTCTAATTTAATTCGGAACAAATTGTAAAAATGCAATATGCCAGCACAATTATTTTTTACGAGGAGTTATTCCAACATATGGTGACCCAATATGTCATATATGAGGTTTAAATTTTGCATAATCGTATATTTGTATAAAACACATATTTGTAGTTTAGAATATCTTATTGCAACCGTTGTAACAGAAAAGTGAAAAACTATGCTTTAGAATTTAATTTCATATCACAAGCTGTCTGCAATTCGGAAAAAGTTATGTATAAAGGAATGAGGTATGCATCTTTTAAGAACACGTTGTGAGCGTCATCTATTGAGTGGCGTGATTCCAATCAGGTACATCGGTATTTCAACCCTACTTTCTAAGCTTATTATTTTGGAACAGATGATCACATCTCTATTTTTATGTGACCAGAAACTATAAAAAATTTAACCAATGTCATTGCAATAAGTCAAAAGTATTTAAATCTACCCATTCAATAGATGGCGCTAACGACAAGGGTTTGCCAGTGTTGTTATCATAAATAAAAAAATCACATTTATCTTAGATTCTTCACAAATTTTTAATGAATATGTATAGCTTAGAACACCCGCTATCCGCTATGATATCAAAAACTGTTTACAGAGTTGTCATGTTTTGGAACATTTCATGGGGTATTCTGATTGATTATAGTATCTTCTTTGAAAACTAAGCCCTTATTTGATTTTTAGTAACATCGAATATTAAAATCGTATTTATTTTACATATGACATCACTATTATTTTAATATGTATATGAAATACGAAAAAAATATGAGGTGTGTATTTTTATAAACCCGTCGTCATCGCCACCTATTGATAGGCAAATGAACAGGCATGCTGACATGTTCAAATTGGCATCAAAACATGTTCTGACCAGGAACATGACAATTTTAAAATACTCGCCAACTATCCAAATTAGCTACGTAAAAGACCGATTGCGAATACTTTCTTCATAAATAAAGAGCGGCCAGTACAATATCGCTCAATTGCTGCAAGACTGGCAAAGCTCATAAAACGTGATTTTCGAGTTAATGATGCACGATTGTTTGCTATAATATAGGACCTATAGAATAACCTCTGTTCTATGTAATGTCTGTGCAAGTTTAAAACACATTTTCTGCAAAATCTTTTTTATGCCTGTCTTGCAACAAATGAGCGATATGTTCTTCCAAAATGTTCCATTAATAATATTACCTGCAAGTATAGGGTAATATTTACTGTAATCAATTCAACAGGAACGTTCTGATAAATAATTGGATTTTCAATCATAACACTAATTTACTGTTGAACAGAACTAAATTGTGAGTAAGTGTGTGAGAGCGTAACTAGAGGTCACCATCAGAAATTACTTATGATAGGATAAAAAATTACACTCATTCTGATTTACAACTCTTGAATTATTATCCCATTCCAATTCATGTTTACAATATAGCCAATATGTTGGCATTGTTTTTTTTAAGTATTTAAAATCTAAATAAGTTCGTATGTGTGTAATAATGTTTACAAAACCTTCTGGCTCTTGTGGTTTACAAAAAAATTATACACGTCGCCTCTTAATATCATGTAATTTGTTAAACACTTTGGAATGCTTGGAAAATAAAAATAAATATCGGCGTAAAGGAAAGTAAAAACATCAAAGATTTAAAGCACAATGACAGATCATGACCTAGACAATTCAGTTACATGGTTATTCAATTGAGAGCATCAGTGAAGATATAAGGAAGGGCATACATTTTTAATAATAAAAACCACAGTAAATATAAATATTAAATTACAAATATTTAAAATTAATAAAAAATATTAGGACAAGCTTATTTTAAATATGAATCAGCTTTCTTTGGGGAGGCAAAAATAAATATTAAACCACATTGGAAATAATATAAATAGTTGGTCAAAAATAATTTGAAATGTTACAAATCTCATTATCAGATACGAAAAAAAATCGATTCTGTACTCAGGGGTTATTTACGCATACGAGAGAATTATGGGACAACATTTAACTTCCAATTTAGCTTTAAAGTAGTGGTGGGCATAAATAAATTAGTTATCATTAAAAACGATTGACGAAAAGAGAGACTGTAGCGTATATGGCTGACAATATTTGCTTTAAAGCACTGTGGTATTATAAGTTTTATCTGGTCTAAACTAAAATTTAATAAGAGGTTATTGTGCTGATATTAAAACACTGTAGCGTGATACGATAAATGAGATAATCCGAAAAACGTCAAACTATCAACATATCTCTCAATTATAACTACACAAATGTTATAAAATTTTAGTATACATCTAGACAATCATTAGCACGGGCTAAACACGTTTAAATGTAGATGTCATAAAACTGACCGAACAAAAAAATAATAATAATCTTAACACACAAACCGGCATTGGGGTTTTTTCTTATTTCTCTGACAAGCCGGTAACAAAAACAAAAAACTAAAAACAAAGTAACATCTAATTAATCTTTGTCGGTACGGTGACAGTATATCATCTGAAAAAAGCGTTGAGATGATAAAAGGTTAATGATTTATTTCTGTTTGTATGAACATTAGCAATTTACCACATTGTATTTTCCAACTAAAGAAGTTAAACGAAAACAATTTCTCTGAAATGTTCTTTAATATACATTTGTGACATGTCACATTTGAGATTGATATCTTGAAAAATGTAATGTCTTTTTTATTTATTTTTATTTTTTGCTAATAATTTTTACAATGTTTAACCTGCAAAATGCAAAGGGGCATTGATATGAGCACTACTATGTATATATATATATATATATTGGAGGTCTAGACAACACTAGGAATTTCGTGATCTATTTAAAAATTTCATTGGAAATTTTGAAAATTTTAAGCGGTACGGTTACAATGACTTGTAAAATAAATTAAAAAAAATAATTGGAAAATATGTTTTATAATATTAGACGTGGATTACGGCGACAAAAGTGCATCGATGAACTAGAATTATCGGCTCAGCCCAACCGTGGAATTTATAGATCATCCGCGGAGCAGACCAAACATTTTACAAATACATCGCTTATACAATTTTTTATGGGGTCCCTAAAGACAACCAGGTCATTGCTCGAAACCGTATATCTATGAACACTAAACAACTTCGAATCAATTTTGCATGTTAAAGAACTGCATGATCCGTCATTATGCTAAACACAATTTTTTTTTTTTGCTGCAGACAGATCCATGATTACCTCCACGAACAATACAAAAAGTTGATTAATCAAAAGTGCAATTACTAAACCCTAGATCAATATTTCTTAGAGTTTTATTTCAATCGTATTTCTGCAGAAAACTTTTAAGCTATATTTTATTCACAATCACGATAATTTAATCCCAACATAGTTTTCCCAACATGTCACTTATTTTCAGTTAAGAATACAATTGTTTTGTAGTTGTTATTTTAAATAATTTATTTACACACACTTATGACAGTATAACAGTTTAAACGAATATTTAAATATTTACATGTTTTGTTTTTCATTAACGCACACACTCCACATTTACTTTGTGCTACTGGCAAGTACATTCTGAATATGATAACGCCTTAAAGTATGCTACGCATTTCGCTGTTACCCCCTTACACTGCTTCGACTTACGATATTTGTTTTTAAATTTACACGGATTTGCTCTAATGAAGAAGTTCTTTACTTAATGGAAGGGAAAATTAATGGAAATTAATGGATTTTTTTTAATGTTTTGCTTCGGCATTTCGAACATGTCGTTGATAGAAAATCGGTGGAATTGATGTGGGATGTGTAGGCGATTCGGCAAGACTTTCCAAAAAGGAATATTGATCTTGATTTCTCGACTCCTTGGGTGGCGGGAATGATTCACCTTGATTCAAACTGCTAAAAGGATTCTTTACCGAATAATTAATGATTCCGGTATTTTCAAATTCATATGGATGACTTGTGGCTGTGGGACGCGAAAAGTAACCATTATCCAGACCATGATGACTAATCGCCTTGGGTTGTAGCGAATTTGTAAGTTGATAATAATTATTCAATGGCAGTGGTATTGGCAGACCAGGGAATGAACTTGTCTGATAACTTTGTGGATATGCAGCTACAGCAGTCTTGGCTCCCGGCAGTGGTATACGTATGATGCGATTATTATATTCTTCCTTATCGAGATTTTTCAAAAAGAATCTATGGAATTTCGAGGAGACCACATAAACATAACCGCTATCGTGCGAAGTTACTGTCATATCAGATACAAATTGTAAATTGATTTGATCCTGGGCGAGAATTTGTTGTTCATTTGTTAAGGGATTCCAGGTTGCGACTGCAGTTTCGGTAACGGGGCTAAAAACAATGCTACCATCTATGGGTGAAACTGTCAAACTAATACCTTGTGAGGATTTTTTGCCCACCAACTTAACGGGTAGCACTTGATTAATGGCAATGGGTCCGGCTCGTAGCACTTCTCGGGTAACTGAAAATATTCTATAAAGAAAACAATAGAGAGCGTTGTTGTATAAAAAAGCATTCATTGCAATATTTATAAATTCGTTTTCTCACCTATCAGTGGCAAATGGCTGGAAATAAACAACTGCCCTCTGCGGATCAAATGTGAAGCCCACAATACCATCCATAAGCACAAAGCGATCATTTAAAATAGTAGCTTCAGCAAAATCTGGATCTGGATACATGGCTGGATGTGTTACTCGCCAGGTGGTGTCGCGAACACTGTCATATACAACGATGGCTGAAAAGAGACGTTATTACATTATGATCAATAGTGGAGTTAACTAAGACTAGTGGTTTAGAAATTCATATTAAATAATAAAAAGTTCGAACGTGAAGAGAGCAGGAAAGAAATATAATAAAACAAGAAAAAAGTGTTCTGCTCAGCTGTGCTACGGCAAAAATGTGTCTCATCGAACTATTGGATTTACACCTTATGTTTCTTTGGATTCATATTAATATTCATCACATTTGAAAATTTTATTTATTTCACAAGAAATTATACGATTAAACCTTTCTTATGACTCCACTTTCATTTTGAATATCAGCAATTCGAAAAAAAAATGATTAGCAAAAAGAAAGGACGTATGCAATTTGTATAAACCCGTCGTCAGCGCCATCTATTGCAAATCGTGCACATTAGTTTTTTTAATTCCAAACTTCTAAGAGTATAACTTTGTAACATATCATCGCAATCGTATGAAAACTGTCATTGTGTCTTTTATCATGGGTATCTCAATTTCGTTTAATCCCGCTCATCTAGATTGCCTCATAAGACATTTGTAAAATTTCAGAACTGCAATCTACATATATGCCACAGTTATGCACGTAGGACCGGTTCTGGCCAAAGAAGACCCCTATTGATTTTTTGGACCTGTTAATATTTAGGGGATGAAATGGACCGAAAAATGTATTTTTTCTGTTTTTTTTTTCTCGCTCCAGAGGCCGCAATTATGACCCGAACATTAATCGCATTGGAATAAGTGCATTATTAGGTCAGAAATATATATACTTTATGATGTCTCCGATGAATATTTCCAAATGTTGCAAACGGAAAGACAAACTTGCAATAAACTGCGATTATTATACCCTCCACTATTTATAATTAATTTTAAACTGTTTCCATAAATAATAAGATCTTAAATAATAATTTTTATTATTTAAGGAAAACATGTCCATAACTTAAATATATACGAACATAAATTAAATTTGGTAAGCAGACCAAAAAACATTAAATTTTTCCAAAAAAAAAATTCAAAAATAGAATCAAACAGCCGAAACGAAAATGGCCTTTAAAATTCATTTTGTTGAAATTGAAATGAAATAAATCAACAATGAACCACTGCCATAAATTATATCACGCAATGCTAAAAACGGCTAAACAAAGTTTGTTGTTAAGATTCTTACAACAAATGCCGGCAAATCATGGCCATAAACGATGAAGTAAATCAAATGAGAATTTGAATTGAATTTAAACTGTTATTAATATTAATAATATTGTGCATATTTTTATTAATTTATAGAGCACTTACCCGGTTCCACTGTATCCGATATATAGATAAAAACATCATCACAAGTACCAGCCTTCGCAGTTGTTTCATCAATTACCAAATTTGTGAACAACGACTCGCCCCTCAACACACCAGCTGGAAAATCTATACGACGCACTACTTGATTTGTTTTAACGTCAAACACCAATATTTTGGGCGGACAGGTTTTTTCATAATCCTCCAGAGAACGTGAAATGCCGGCATCCAATACCCATAAGCGTCCACAGGAATCTACACGCATGCGATAAACAGAAACCAGAACCAAATCACTGCAATTGAAATCTGTGCGTCCAGTAGTGGAATATGACCAATCCGGGTATGCCTACAAGAAAAAAAATTACTTCTATAAATAAACTTGTTCACAAAAGAATGATAAGTTACAACTCACATTCAACACTGGTGATTCATCGTACTCTCCTCGGGAAATCCAACTTAGTGTCGATGGCACACCAGAGAATAGTTTCGGTGTGGCCACGAAAATACGATCATTCATAACCGCCAAACCAGTTGATAAAATATTCGTCGGATTGTAGAAGTTCACATCTTGTACCGGTGCATGAGGCAGGAAATTGTATGTAAAGACTTTCCATTGTTTAACCACATCCAATGAAGATCGCGGAACATGACCATGCGCATGCGTTCCATGCACGTGCCCATGCAAACGATGACCAGCATTGAGCTGAACAGCAATGCACAAGTTCAACGCCGGCAGCAGTATGGCCAAGACAAGGCCAAAACATAATTTAGTCATAATGCTGTGGTGTGCCGTCATACAGCAGCAATCTTGGCTGATAGACAGACACAGAGGCCAGCAACTGTTGTAATTGCTTACTGCAACACAGAGAGTCAGTCAGATAGATTGCCAACCGGCCAGTCGTTAGATTAGCTCTATAGGTAGGTATGCCTATTTGGTTATAGTTGTTGTTGTTGTCGACTGACTCTGACGATGTGTTGTTGGTTGCACTTTATGGCGCCTATGGAAATATGCCCGACAACCGAAAAAAACGTTTTTGCTCGTAAAAATGTTAATGAACCAAGAGCAGCAGCAACAACCACCGTTTGGATTATCAAAGGCGTCGAGCATACAAATGTCTGCAAAGAAAAATTTAAAGCACCAACTATATAATTAATTTGCTAATTTTATTGGTCACATTAAGCAGCCATATTTGGCTAAATGTCAATATTTTATAATCGTTTAATGTCAACATTATGTTCGGTAGTCAACGGTTGTCAATTTATGATTTATGACAAAGCTGAGTTAACTTGGTGGACGAGGCAAGTGTTTTTTGGGAAGTTTGTAATAATTTTCCATTACTAACTTTGGAACAGTTATTTTTTAATAAGATTTTGAACATAACCAAAATGTGTATAACATTTTCAAGTTATGAAAAAACTTTATAGTTTGCTTCAAAAGTATGGTTCCTATTTTGAATTAATAATAAAAACAATAAAAGTAAGTATGTATACACATGTGTAGCTTAAACTGTTCACAAATATTCAATTATAGTATCCTAGCAACTGCCGGCAACTTCGTTTGGGATAAAAGCTAATTTACTCTTAATCAGAATAAAATTCTATGATCTTAAAAAACAGTAGAGACGGAAGTATCTTTCTATGTTCTTTATATGCGAATCGCCTGATGTGTATAAGTAATAACGCTAATCATACGCCACCTAGGTTCAGCAGTCATAGAATAATTATCAGAGGACAATGCAAGATTACCGTTGGAGTTTAGAACTGAGGTATGTACGTAATTTTGGGAATTCGTACATATGTGTACTAAATTTGGTACAATATGAATTTTAGAGAGCCGATAAAGCTAGATTCCTGAAATTTACAGTTGTGATTCCTGTTGTGGTGTAGGATTGGTAGTTTTGGAAATGTATACTTATGTGTACCAAAAGTACTGATATGTATGTAAACTTATGTACACTAAATGGTACTAAATATGGTGCAATTTGGATTTATGATAAAACCATAGGTCTGGAATCCTGAAATTGGGAAATAAGATTTCTATTGGATTGTAAGATGTAGGTAGTAATGGAAATTTGTACTGATGTGTACTAAGTGATACAATTTGGATTTAGGTGAACCGACAGAGCTGGAATCATGAAATTTGGATTCAAAATTACTGTTGATGTGTAGGATTGGGAAATGGCGTAGAAATTTGTACTTGTGGGTACTAAATTTGATAAAATTTGTATTTAGGTGAATCGACAGGGCTGAAATTTGGAATTAAGATTACTTTTGGAATATATTTTCATTTTGGGTGAACCGATAGAGATAGAATCCTAAAATTTTGAGTCAGAATCACTGACTACTAATGTGTACTAAATGACACAAATTTTGGTACAATTTGGATTTAGAGTGAATCGATAGAGCTGGTATCCTGAAATTGGGTAATTAGAATTCCATTGGATTGCATGATGTATGTAGTACGGAAATTTCCACTTATATACTAAATGGTACTAAATTTGATACAATTTGGATTTTGGTGAACCGATAGAGCTGGAATCATGAAATTTGAAATCAAGATTGGGGCAAGTGGGTAGTTTTGGAAATTCTTACTTCAGATTGTTATGGAAGGTCATTATGAAAATTTATATTAATGTGTACTAACTGATACTAAATTTGGATTTGGCTGAACCTATATTTGAAATTTTGATTTTTTTGGAAATAAGTATTACAAGAGTAATAAATGATACCAAATTTAGTACAGATTTCGATTGCGATCACCATTGGGGTGTTGTGTCATTCGTCAACAAAGTAGCTGCATAAGGGCATTTCCGGAAAATGTAAACCAAAGCAGAAGATTTTTTTCTTTAATTGGGCTTACATACGTGAATCAACGGCAAAAAACACAAAGAAGGACCACATTTGTCATTTTTTTCTTCTTGTTCTTACCTAAATACTAATTTAAAGACTATAAATGCAGCACTGCATAATAAAAACTGCAAAATCAAAAATTTCGCGAGGGTGATCGAGAAAAATCCTTCGCAAATAAAGGATATTCTAAAGTTTGAAATTTTGAAAGTGCAATTATTTTAAAAGCAATGCACCATTTTTAGTACAAATTACAAAATGTTTATCCACTAGAAGTATACATTTCCAAAACCACCTACTTACCTCAACCATAAAAAAATTGCAAAATTGTTTTTTCTTTACTCAATTTAAAAGGTACTTATTTTAGTGAAATTTGGTACTTTTCCCAAGCTTGTATTTACCACCAATATTGTTTCACGCACTTAACTTTACGATTATAACGTTTACGTTGTGTAATGTTACCTTTTAGTATGTTTTCTACAATTTTCAAAACCACATTCTTTTGACAATCCTATGTACCCCAAAGATAATTCCAAATTCCAAAGTGGAAATCTTTAACTTAAATCAACCAGCGATCTCCATATAAAATTTCAAGATTGACACCAATTGTAGTACTATTTAATGCTTTTCCCAATCGTGTTGTGTAAAATTTCAAAATTTTAATTACAAATGTTAAACAAATCATACGCATATTTCGATCTGACAATATGCTTAAAATTTTGTTCGTTAGAGCATTATGAATCTCGAAAGTCGTCGCTAATGAGTTTTTCCAACCAACAGACCTTGAGACCAAATAAGAAGACATTCACTATTAATGATTAACAGCGATTAAGCACCTGTTTGATTTTCCATACATTTCCTTAGAATTTAATGAATAACAATTTCCGTTTGATCTACAATAATAATTATTTTTCTATGTAAATTTTCCAATTGCACTAAGTTGATTACACTTAGACGACAATGTTCTCATAACATCCGACATAAATTTCACAGCATGAAAATATACATTATCAACATAACTCATTATAGTTGTAAATTTATGTGTGAATTATGTTAATTTGTTATACGAATCAATGATAATAACAGTATTTATTGCATACTTTTTTGTTTTGTTTTACAATAAAACCTAATAGACGTCACTATTAGGTTTTTCTTTTACAATCGAGTTGCCATTTAAAATTTCATAACGAATCCATTTGCGGTATTTTGATCATTAGCTTTAATTGAATTGAAAGCCTACAAATTTGAATCAATGAGCCGATAAAAAATAATGAATGCAAATTAAATTTTATAGACGAATGAAGAAAAAATCGCAACAAAAATGTTTACAATTTGGTGGCACAAGTCAACTAAGCGACTAACTGTGGCGTTGATAGACCCAACCAGTCGGTATCTGAACGGTTTGCTTACCATTGACTTTGATTGTAGGAAACCTCCACATAAAATCTGAATCGCATTGAACGGATCATAATTGGTGGCGTTAAAATCAATGTTTTGCTCAATTAACTGTGTAATGTCGTTATGATTGTGGCCAATTAAAATGAAGTATCTGACCACATCGAATCAACATTTAAGCAAAGGTACAATTTGAATAAGTTAAATGGTTGCGTGTTGTCAAAGTGATTTATACGCAAAAAAATGACAAATATATGTATGTAAAATTTGTAATACTAATCAGAGACATAAATTGGTGTGCATTAACGATTTATGTGAAGGTGATTTATTGTAATTTCACCCGCTATTGAATGCTGTTAGTTTTTTAATGGAGTGTGTTTTTATACAGTAATGTTATCGAAACCATAAGAACAAAAACAAAAGACTTAAGACACAAGCACGATTATTAGACGACATCACAAGAATTCTAGATAAACTAATAATATTAAGAATTTAATCGACATAAAAATACAATCTGCGTACGGACGTAAGCAAATAAGTGTGAATACTAATAACATTTATCAAATGTGATAAACTGGACTTCAGCGTAAATAACGAAGTTGTGAGTTTTATCGTGATATCAATAGACGGATAAGACTAAAAACTTTTAAAATTTATGCTGAAGAATATTAGATATATGTTATTGTGTGTTTCATGACTCTTAAGAGGTATTATAAGGGCTACCATATACATTTCTTGACAAGTAATAAAAATAAGAATATGTATTTAATTTTTTCAAAGTATTCCCCAGTATTATTCGCTCAAACAGATTTTACACTCCGGCTGAGAAGCATCATCTGGGGATGGAAATCACAGACCACACATCGTCGCCTCCGGATTATTTTTATCGAATAAATTAGCGATCGTTTGTTTCAAGCTTTCATACTCGAACAGCTCTCGTTGGCTGTGGTCGAAATTATTTTTCAAACTGGAAGCTACACAACACATGCTACTACGTCAAACCATGCTTAGTAAGTTTATGCTCTAAACGACACCAATACGTGGTTGGGTTTTTTTTCAATCAATTTGCCTGTAATTTGGTGTTTTGGATTCTCACTGGCTAGGAAATCTTCGTACCAAAAACTATCAACATTGACTTTAGCTTTGAATTCCCCATTATTCGGTATGTTTGGATTCTGATTTCACATTTATAATCGGTGGCAATAGGTTTACAAAACGTCACAAACATACATTTAATACATTTAATCAGCAGACGCATCCTAACACACGTCGCAATTTTGAAGGACCATTGAGATGAAATTGGACGAATTTTAATATGTGATCTTCATCTATATTGTGAACCGACTTATATCAATCCATACAGATGTCATGCAAAATTTTATTTCACTCGGACAGATTTAGAGTCGTTTGTTTAC